GGGGGGGGGGGTGGCCCAGTCCGTTCAGGGGCCACCTGAGAGTACAAGTCGTTTTAGCCTATCCATCCTTTCTTGGAGCATCTCCAGTTTCACTACAAGCCAGTCTGGAGCAGGAGACTTCTGGAGTAACAGTTCCACCGCCTCCAAGGCCACGGACGCCGCCTGTAGTGCTGACCCGCACTCTTCTTCCGCAGGGAGCTCACGACGGGCTCTTTTTGCGCAAGGCTGGCAAATGAGAAAAACCTGCGATAAGTAATGCCATGATACCCATCTCAAAGATGATAAAGAACTTTCTTTCTGGAGTTCTGAAACTGTCAAGTTTTATGTGCTAATTTTATTTAGTCATTGGTTCACCAGGGGAGGAGGGAACCACCACCCCTGCAATCACCTAGAAAACTCTGGGAAGGCATTTCTGGTTAGTTCCACCAACATTAGGGCCCAAGGAAAGTAAGAGAAACGCCTGCCCCATCCAGTCATTTCCAGTGAGTTTCTTTGGGATTATCTTGCAATCTGTCCTGACAAAAAAGCCCCAAGTATGAATTTTCTAAATGGTTCCAGTTTACTTTTTAATGCTAAGTTTATAAATGAGGAGCGCTGTGGTCTTTCGGAAACTTTTACGGCCAATTCCAGAAACCGTCAGGCTTTTAGCATCACCGCACTGGGGTGGGAACTGGGGCTGAGCCACCTTTTGTGATCACGGCCTTCCTAAGGAAGGTCATAATAAATTCGAGAGAGAAAAAAAAAAAACATGCACAAGCAGGGGAAGGGCAGAGAGAGAAATCCCAAGCAGACTCCGTCAGTGCAGAGCCCAATGTGGGGCTTGAACTCACAAACCATGAGGTCGTGACCTGAGCCAAAACCAAGAGTCGGACATCCAACTGAGTCATCCAGGGCCCCATGGTCATAATAAATTCTTGGGGGCTTATTTACACTGATATGTAACTTTCAGGCTTGAAATCTGTAAAACTAAGTCTTTCCTGAAAACTAGTTATAAACAAACTTTTCTTTTTACAAAAGTTACAACTAAACTCACCAGAATATCGTTCATTTGGACTGCGATTCTATATACATGTGTGTATCAGTGCTCAAAACAATATTCTGAATATCCTTAGGGGTATCAGATTTCTGCCTTTTAATAGGTAGATGTGATTTCTAGACACTGCCCAGAATTATCCGGCTGGGTTGATGAATGAAACAAGGGATCAGCCTAAGCATTTTGGAAGGTGAGTTCATTGGTTTTCCATGGTTCAGAAACTACTGTTTGTCACTTCACTGATAACAAATACAGAACTTTCCCAAAAGTTACTACAAACAATTGAAAGTCCTGTTGAAAGAGTAGGGATAGTATGATGTTAAAACTTATTTGCAAGGGTGCCTGGGAGGCTCAATTTGGTTATATGTCCGACTCTTGGTTTCGGCTCAGGTCATGATCTCACAGTTCGTGGGTTCAAACCCCACACCAGGCTCTGTGCTGACAGTGTGGAGCCTGCTAGGAAAGAAGAAATGTGATTTTTAAAAGAGCAGCTACTGTAAAACAGAATTTTACATTTCTAGATCTATTTGATTATATTTTAAAAATATTTTTGAGAGAGAGAGAGAGAGAGAGCGCTTGAGAGGGAGAGGGACAGAGAAAGAGAGGGAGACATAGGATCTAAAGCAGTCTCCAGGCTCTGAGCTGTCAGCACAGAGCCAATGGGGGCTCAAACCCACAAACTGTGAGATCATGACTTGAGCCAAAGTTGGTCGCTTAACCGACTAAGCCACCCAGGTGCCCCGATGTGATATTTTGATATTCAATAGGCCAGGAACCATCCTGTTTTTTTTTTTTCACTTTTATCAGTAAGAAGGGCAGAATTTCTCTTAAAGCTTGACCCATACTATAAAGTCCATACCTGTAAAGATGACCGCTTTGCTTCTTCTACAGCGACGTTAGCAAAGCGTTCCCAGAAAATGGCTTTTTCCTGTTTCACACGTTCCACCCTGGCAGCCGTGGTTTCATCTACAAACCCAGTCTGCCACAAATCGTGAAAAATCAAGTAAACACCAAGCATTCTCTAACAGAAAATGCTGTGATATTCAGAAAATGAGAAGATGCCGTGCATGTGTGTGTAAGCACCCAGTATTAAACTATTCTGGCTTAGCCTGTGAGCTAGGCAGGTTTTGGAAGGTGGACTCATCTGTAAATGCACCATCTTCGTGTGATTTGGATAAAATCACTCTCCAGTGTTCTCCTTCCCTACAGAAAAGCCAAAGTGTCTTCTTTCCAGGAAAAACTGATAGTCTGCGAACCTTCATTGTACAGGGTGAGAAACTGGTAAAAACAACATGTACGCACATACTTCACCAGCTGATGTGTGAGGTATACGTGCGTATAAACAGCCACATGGCCCAGTTTAATAATGGGCGTAGTACAAAAAAAAAAATCAGTAGTTGAGCATAATGCACTTTCTCTGGTCTTCTAAAATCCGTGGCTTAATGTTCTGCTGGTGTTGCAATTAGCCCCTTATGCCCCAGAACTGCCCCCATAGAAGTTCCAAGGTGTGCACAGACATGGGAGCCAAATGACTCAACAGTTGGGTTCTAACTATTAAAAACAGCTTTAGAAATGTCACAGTTTGGAAAACTAGGTCTTTGTTGGCGCAGGAAAGCCGTGTAAAATTCTACGTAAATGAGAGGAGTAAACGCGGCCTCTCAGGCTCCCGGTTCTCCATGCGAATCTAGGAGGGTAACGTTCGGGGTCCCTCGGTCCTCTCACTGCCTGAACTCACAGCGACTCCGCCCGGTCTCTGACCTGTCATCTGGCCCTGGCTGTTTAACTTGTGTCACCCGTGTGCTGAGCACTATGAACAATTTAAGAAGATACTTAAGTCGGTTACAATCATACAATTTTAAAAAATGACGAAATATGTGATCCCACTATTTTGATCTACATAAATAAATACCTTCTCCAGAAAGGATACAACTTTGTTCTTGGTTTCTTCGGAACTGAGACACTGTGGGACTATCTCTTCATGATTTGTTCCCTATCAAAAGATTGATAAACGAGATCGATTTTAATATATTTCAACAACTTGCAAAGACAAATACATGAGTTTTAAGAGCAACTTAAGAATGCATTTTAAAAGAAAACTATCCGAGGACACTCAGAAGACCATCAGCTCACAGTCCCTTCAGGGCGCCTCAGGACAACGCAGCGTTCTGCACGGGCACGGCACTGTGAGCTTTAGTCACCTCTGCCCGGTCTCTGGGCCCCTTATGAGCACAGGCGTGACTGCACAGCGACAGGCAAGAAGGCTCACCTTCTCCATGGACCTGAGCTCGCGGGGCTCTGTGTTTATCTCCCTAACTCCTACGATAGTTTGAGATGAAACGTGTTACTCATTTCAAACTCAGAAATACTGTCTGGAAGACAGTGTCCGAGTTAGTAGGCCTGGTCTGAATGCTCGGTTCTGGTTGTTACCACCCTTGACCTTAGGAAAGTCCCTTCATTTCTCTATGCTTCATTTTTAGATCCTGTAAAATAGATCGTTAGCAATACTTCCTCCAGCAGAAAATTTTAATGACCAAGATCAAAAGTAGCTCAATAAATGTTTCTAGAACATTTTAGAATATTGCAAATATTAAACTGTTTTGGAGGTCACTATGATAGGTTGGTCTTATAATTACCTGGGCAAACTGAGTAAACGCCTCTAACGTATGTTGTTCTAGGATCCAGTTCCTGTCAGCTAACAGTAAGGCAAAAATAGAAGATAGGTTGGGCAGAATTTTGTCCTACAAAGAGAACCAAACCTTATTAGAGGAAAATCTCAGTAGAGTACATTCACTCTTCTTTATTTATTTTGAGAGAGAGCACGAGTGAGCAGGGGAGGGGTAGAAGGGAGGGGAGAGAGAGAATCCCAAGCAGGCTCCATGCTGTCAGCAGGAAGCCCGATGAACTGTGAGATCATGACCTGAGCCAAAATCAAGAGTCAGACACTTAACCAACTGCACCATCCAGGTCCTCCAATATTCACTATTCTTAATGTCAGGTTTCCTTAATTCTGTCCCCGTTAGGTCATGTCACTCCTTTGTTCAAATGCTTCCAACAGCTTCTCATTTCCTTCGGAGTAAAGGCTGAAGTCCTTACAATGGCCCGGAAAGCCCCACTACCGGTGTGTTAGCTCTACTGGCTTCCCTCCATGTATCAGACACGCTCTCAAGAGGGATCAGGCTTACGATTTCCCCTGAGTGCAGGACGCTTCCCCCAGATACCCGCATGGCTTGCTCTCTCAGCTTCAGGATTTTACTCACAGCTCACCTCGGTGAGGACACCACTGCCAATAACCCGTTTAAAACTGTACCACATACACATTCTCTCTTTCCCACCCTTACTTTCTTTCTCTCCAGAGCACATACAATATTTCATATGCTACATCACTCCTTCTTAGTTGCCTTCCGACAGGCTGAGGGTGGATATTTATTAGTTTGTTCATTAATGAATCCCCAGTGATTAAAACAGCACCTGACACACAGCAAAAACTGAGCAATATTTTTCTTGAATAAAATGTCATCTCCTGGCTTTAAAGGCTCTTATATGCTGATCAATCCACAAATTTTTCAGGCCTTTGCTCTGGGGAATATATAATTTCTGCTAATAAACCATTTGTTCCACAGCATCTGGGCCCATCAGGGTGCATACCTATTCATGAATGAGACAGTATTTCGGAATTTATCTTATGCTAAAAAGACAGCTCGAATGCAAACATCTTTGGATACTTCTGTCCAGAGTTTAAAAGAAGCTGTCAATATCTACCTTTCTCTCATGAAACATAACCTTGTGTGTGAAAACAGTATGATACCATTTACTTGTGAGCAAATAAGAGCCCTTTAGAAACTAGCCAGTTAAATGTTTCTATTGCAAAGATTTTAATATCTACTGAGATAACATCCATCATATTTTTGCTCCAATTACATGACAAGGTTGTCATCACCCATGGACGTGAAAAAAGCCAACTATCTAGACTGACCACAGTAATAAGGAAGGCAAAATTCAGTTCAGGAGGTTGTATCTGGAAATGAAGTAGTATATTGTCAGACCCCTGCAGTATAATTTATACGTAAATATCCATTTGCCAATTATATATACTTTGCAACATTTTAAAAACATGGTCTTAACAAGTTCTTTTTCATGGATATAAAACCAAGAGTATATACAGTTTGATAAATTACCCAATTTCCTCATTATATACTATTCCCTAGAAGACAAATGTCTGCCTTCCTCAGAGACGTTGTGTACTAAAGGCCAACTGGAATGAGACTCTCAGGCTACCGCCAACTCTAAATTATCTGTATGTCAAAATGTATTTTTCTAAAAAGAAAAAAACTTACAATGAGTTCTATTTTGACAAAGTCATCCTCTCTTCACAAAATACATCCCCCCCCAACTTTCATTGTCAACAATCCACAGAATTTCAGACAGAAATCAGAAGCCTGAAAATTTTACTAATTCTTACAGAGATTTTGTTAACAAAAGAATTAAAGAATTTGGGGAACAAAAGCATGAAGAATATTACCTGGATAGCTTGAGGTATAAAAAAATTTCCCAGAGAAGATACAAAATCAAGCACTGCCAAACAAACATGGTCAGGAGGCTCTAATTTAAGCAGTGAGGTCTGCAAAGTTACTACCTAAAGTGGCAAAGACCAAAGAACAGTTAGAAATGAAAACAAGTATTTTGTAGAGACCTAATGAGTAAGATTTTGATGGATGTGTGGAAGGGAAAACACAACAAAACCCAAAACAGCTGAACACTCAACAAAGCCTACACTTCACAAGTGGAATTTGAAGAAAAACAAATGCCTGACCCAATTATTACAGTATTCATCCTCCCAATTGCTGTTAAAAATAAAAAAGTATCTTCCTGAAAAACTACATACCAGTGCTCTCCTTTCAAATCCTTAATAGTTGTTCTGTATTATAAATTATGGTGACGGAAATTCATTATTTAAAGCAGGGATCGGCAAACTTTCTACGAAGGGCCAGGTGGTAAATACTTTAGGCTTTGTAGGTAGTATGTTCCCTGCTGCATACTCCTTGTTTTTTTTTTGTTTTTTAGTTTTTATTTTACAAACCTTTAAAAATGTAAAAATCATCCTTAGCTCTTGTCCTATAAACAGGAAGCCATAGTTTGCCAATCCCTGGTTTAAAGGAACACAGAGATAAAGTCTCCTATAAAAGAAGCAACACCTAAATGAACAATTTACTTATGCTGAAATTTTAGAACTTTAGTCATGTGGGTTTTTTAAAGGTAGACACAATTCTATCAAAATTATCCATATTTGATTTTTCAAAAAAGATTAGAAACTTCAGAATCCACAAAGTCTGAGTCAATGATTTTACTGTATTCTCATTCTCTGTAATTTAGTTAATCCATGTTATGCATATAGAATTTGTAATTTACTTACTATAATACATATATACATATATTTAATATAATACATATACATATGTACATATATACACATATACATACACATATACATATTATGCATATATAAATATGTAATTTAAAACTGCACCTCATTAGTATGTATTTGTTAATGTCAAGTTGTGAATGTGCACAACCACTAACCAAGCTACTAAAAAACAAAGTGTTAGTAGTTCTGCTTTCCAGCATATACGGTCCTGTGATAAGCTATTATTCCTTCCATCCTCCTCCAAGGAATGATTAGTTTTACCTCGTAACTGTTTATTTCTTAATGTGCCTGTAAGCTTAAGCCAACTCTCGATTTGGGGGATCAGTTCTGTCCAAGATGGACTAATTCCAAAGCCTCTGAATCATTTCAGAGAAGATGGAGGCCTTTTGCCGTCTCCTCTCTGTATCGGCTTAGAAACGCCAAAGGCAGGCAGTGACTAGGCAGCATCAAAAGGATCCCCCCGACAGTGACCTCGTCCTGCCTGCTCCAGCCATGCAGGCTGGGGGCCAGAGAGAAAATTCAGTAGTCCTTTACGTCAGAATCATGCTTTCAAAGAGACTGTGAAGATGGTCCCTAAGTCCACATTGCTTATATTCTGCACTCCCACAGCTGCTGAAATACATTTGAGCACGGTCTGCATGCAAAGTTCACACATGAGCTAGGACTCCTGGCCTCAGAGATGTTCTGGGGCAGTTAAAGCTTGGACTATTTGGCATCAGGGAGACAGGGAAGAACAGATATGGGCTGAACCAACAGCCTGTATCCTAACCATACTCTACTGGATGAGTGAAAGAAATGAGGGGACCGCCCTAAGATAAAGCAAACCTGTGACGTCTACATTCAGTCCAGCAGGAAAGGGGGAACAAGCAAACTGAGCAACAAATCGCTAAAAAGGGCTGTTTCTACAAAGCTATTTTAGGTCATACCAGTTCAATAATTTCCTCAGCAAAGTATCAACAATTTGTTCACTGTTCTTACCTGACTTATCAGAGGAGGATCTAGAGTTTGAATGAAAAATCCCAACAGTGAAAGTAAAAGGCTAAGTGTCTGTCGAACATAAGGTTGACCTGTTACCTTAAATACGAAACACAAAATAATTTTGGTGAGAATTTTCAATTACATGAAAATAGCTACCTTTTAATGAACATTTGTTATACACTAGGCGATATGCTAAGTGTTTTATATTACCTCACATATACCTTCTAACTCTACGAAGTAGCTCTTACTACCCTCACTTTACCAAAAAATAAGAAAAAGGGGCAGAGAGGTTAAATAATTTGCTCAAGATCACATGACCAGAAATTCCATTTCTCTTCTCTGTAACTGTGGTTTCTATCATGATATGGTAAGCTAGATCACCAGCAGAGAGATCCTCAATGAATATTTACTGAATGATTTGTGAGGATTGGGGGAAAGCACTTCCTGAAGTTCAAATACTAAAGAAGGGAAATTTAACCATATGTAAATTTTAATGATAAAACATTATCTGCAAAACCATTTCTATTATTTACCAAAAGTGTGAATGTTGCCTTCAGCTTCCAGCAGCTGGCACTACTCAAAGAAAACAAATGTCCTATTTAGATTTTTAAACTAAATGTCATTTGGAAACCACAATCATCTGTGGGACACCCATCATCCCAATTCTAGCCTGTCACCTGGCCTCTGCCATCGCTGGGGAAGAGGAACACAAAGCAGCCATAGCCATCCACTTGTCCCTGCCGCCTTTAGGCCAGGTCACTCTCCACTGCCCAAAAGATTTCATGGAAGACCCCAGAACCACAGAAACAGGCTATACTAACCCAACAGAGAAGAGAAACAATACCAAGAAGGGTTTGATTTTTTTTAATAGGGTCCAAATGGTCATGAAAATAGTTAGCTGGACTGTCAGTCACTCTACTAGGCTCTAGTTTTACTACTGGAATCCTGTCACACTCAAAAAGAACTGGTTCAAAGAGCACAAATAGGTATTTTAAGTTCTGATTGCAAGTTCTATCAAGCACCTAAAGAAATTACATACATTTCACTCTACAGGGAAATTTTGGTGCTATTCTTTTTTCAGTGTTTCATTTGTTCTCCGGAGAAATTATCAGCTGCTTTCCTTACCAGCGTAGTGTTTAAAAATGCCCAAAGCTGACTCCCGATTTCCAGAATTGCAGTCTGCTGTGCAATATCCAAAGCTTCACTAGCAGAATTACACACAGCAAGCAAAGCAGAAAGCTGTGTGTTCTGTAAGTGGAGACAGAGGGAAAGAACTGAGGTTAGATCCCAGTCTAAAGGAGCCGAGGCCCCAGAGGTTATGGATAACTTGTAACTCTGCATAAAAACCTGTGGCCAATGTGTGTTCTAAGACCCAATGCCATCTTTTCAGCTACTTCATTAAAACATTTTATTAAAAATAATTTTCCTTATAGACAAACATCTGCTTCATTTTCTACATATTTTTTTCCTTTTAGGTTAAAGTTTAATATCAAAATGGAAACAGCATTGTATTTTAATACAATGATACAGACTGTCCATATAATCAAGCTAATTTTATAATATTCATCAACTAGAGTCTATTTTTTTCACATGACACACCTAGCAATCTTTTACCATTACTAGATTTTTATTATTGCTGTTGTTTCATAATTAATCTTTAAAATTCCTCAACAACACTCTGCATTCAATAAACAAAGACAATACTTGAGAAGTACACTATCTAGAACTTGAAACTAAAAACCGTCTTATCTGGATCTGCTCTTATCTATATATGGAATCTCTCTCTCTGACTGGCCAGGAGTGCAGTGGGCTGCACGTAATGATTAGTAACAATGCCTTTAACCCATCATACTTCAACAACATTTAAGTTTGAAGGATTAGCACACAGCTTTTTATTTAAGATTTACCTATTTCCTTCTACAAATAAGCATGTAAAATGACCTGCTGAAATAAAGTTTTGGTCAGGGCAAAGATATATTCAAGTTTAGAAAACAGGTGCATTATTTTGCCTACTCCAAAAAATGTTTTATCTTCAACTGCAAAGATCAGTGCACAATAAATGTAAAACCTGAACAATCTAAGTTACTCCTGTGTATTTCAAAGTTATCTCAAAATAAATGCAAATAAAAACTTGTATTTCCTTTAATATGTGTATATGTTTTAAATTATCCTGATAATTTAAAAAATTATTTTTAATAAAATTTTATTTTATTAAAATTATTTTTTAATAAAATGTATTAATGAAGTAGTTGAAAAGATGGCACTGGGTCTTAGAATACAAATTTGACACAGGTTTTTATGCAGAGTTGTAAGTTATTCGTAACCTCTGGGGCCTCAGCTCCTTTAGACTTAATTATCAAGAGCCATGAATAGAACAGAGTGTCAGAACACTTACACTCAGTGTGGAGATCTAAGCCTTGAAAAAACCCTGACCTCGTAATTTAAAATTGCAAATAGACCCCTAGCCCCTTGAATATCCTGTCCCCATCCCTGCTTGATTTTTCTCCACTTATCCCAAACTAATCTAAAACATTTACAAATATATTCATTACTTATTTTACTGTCCACACCTGAGCTAGAGTACAAGTTCATGAGAACAGGAATTTTTGTTTTGTTCCCTATTCTATCCCCAATGCCTAGAACAGTGCTTGGCACACAAGAGTGTTCAAAATATGTTTGCTGGATGAAATAAATGAAGGAGAAAATGATACTAAACTGGAAAACTGAACCACATGTAGTATAGTCAATTTTTCAATTTTAAAAAATCGTGTAGTTTTTACTTCTTCTAGATGAACTTCTTTTACGTTTCATTAAGAGGGAACATAAAGCTCGTAAGAACTACATAAAGACTCAGATGGGGCGCCTGGGTGGCGCAGTCGGTTAAGCGTCTGACTTCAGCCAGGTCACGATCTCGCGGTGGGTTCGAGCCCCGCGTCAGGCTCTGGGCTGATGGCTCAGAGCCTGGAGCCTGTTTCCGATTCTGTGTCTCCCTCTCTCTCTGCCCCTCCCCCGTTCATGCTCTGTCTGTGTCCCAAAAAAAAAATAAATAAACGTTGAAAAAAAAAAAATTTTTAAAGACTCAGAATAGGCGTGTCTAAAATGGGGGCTGCATTTTGTCAAACAGAAGAGTCATGTCTGCCTAATCTAATGATGTGTCAGCAAAATCACTGCAAATAAAATATTTCATACTGAGTTTCATCTTGGTCCAGTGTGTCTTGAACTGCAGACCCTCAGTCCCCAATGTAATTTACATCAAGATGGAGTAAGTTTCTCACAGACCCCTTTACAATGTAGAATCTGAAAGCTTGCTAGTTTCTAACCTGAGGGCAAGAGACTGTATCCTTCTTATTAACAACCCATCACTAGTACCTTAAGTAGTGCTCAATAAACAGTTACTAAATGAACCAAATCAATCAAAATTCTTTTCTTACCAGAGAGTCAAGCTCTCCCAAAGTACGACTATTGCTTAGCCACTCCGTACACCGTGCAATGCCTACTCCGACGACCTCTTGTGCGGCTTGTTTCCTAAGCTCGGCAGGTAATGCCTGGAAGGAAATATATTGCCACAGAGACAGATTTTCTGCTTCTCTGGGGGAAAATTTCTGGATAAACTCCACCTGAAAAAAATTGAAGAGTAACAGAAGACGATCTGATGAATGGATACACAAAAGCGGAGAACTGGCTCCCACTGTTTATATATTTTTTTTTTTTCCAACATTTATTTATTTATTTTTGGGACAGAGAGAGACAGAGCATGAACGGGGGAGGGGCAGCGAGAGAGGGAGACACAGAATCGGAAACAGGCTCCAGGCTCCGAGCCATCAGCCCAGAGCCTGACGCGGGGCTCGAACTCACGGACCGCGAAATCGTGACCTGGCTGAAGTCGGCCGCTTAACCGACTGCGCCACCCAGGCGCCCCACCACTGTTTATGTTTTTAAAAAGCTTTTAACTGACAAGGACCAGACCAAGGTAAATGACACAAACATGCATTATTGTATTTGCTGTTGTTGCATTTGTTTGCAAATGCAAAACGCAGTTTAAGTGGAACATGATATATAGGCACTGAGAGATGTTAAAAATAATCGATTTCATTATTAGTCAGGTAGCTATTTTATCCTACCCAGTAAGTCTATTATTTTCCTAAGAACATGTGTGCTCGTGACCTTGTTAAGTCAAAAGTAATATTCCAAGGTATGCCAAAAGAGCGATTCGGCCAACCCTGGCGGCTTACTGTTATCTCAGCTGATTAGAACAAAGGACCTACAGAAAGAAGCAAAGCTCATCGGTTTGATTATTCCACTAGGCTAGTTGGCTTTGCTCTCAGAGGACACACAGAATTTGTTTCACAAACGTAAGCCACCAGTTCAGAATCATGTGGCTAGCAAATCCATTCTACCACTGAAATAATTCAAAGCCTTTGCCAAGTTAACAGAAAAACAGCACTAGTTTGTTAAAAATGAGGCATCAGCAGACTAGCTAAAAACAGAACACAAACATTAAAAAAACAAAAAGTTAAAATAATAGTTTCCAGTGGAAAAATAATGGTGCACTGAATTTCTAAATTAAATATAACCTAGGAAGTATATTAATATAATTTTTTAAGAAGAATAATTCAATTTGTAGTATCTCAAATCTACTTGATGAAAACTTCCTATATTAAAAAAAAAAACCCTACCATGTTAAATTTGACAGAGTAATTTTCTCACATTGTGTATCATATTTATATTTGGATTTTGTTTGCAGACAACATTTAGCTGTCAAAACAAGGGAGAAATTGTGTGGCTATCTTCTGGGACAGCTGATAAAGCCAGAAAAATGGACGCTGTGATGAGCTATGTGTCTATTATAATAAGCAGCTTTATTCATGAAACCAAACTGCATCAGGAGGGCCAAGAGAAATGTGCCAACTGATAGACATCAGCTGAACATGACCTTTCTTTATAATAAAATCCAGTGAGTGAATGAACTAGTTCCCTTGCCAAAATAGAAATTACAAATAATAATGCCCTGGACAACATAAAAGGGTAGGTGTTGACAAAATTTATTACATAGAAAAAGTGATTTATTTACTATTTTGAGTTTGAAAACCTCAGTCTCAATACAATTTTAAATATTCAGGGGCACTGGGGTGGCTCAGTCAGTTAAGTGTCTGACTCTTGATTTCGGCTCAGGTCATGATCTTGTGGTTGTGGGTTTGAGCCCCACATTGGGCTCTGCACTGACAATGTGGAACCTGCTTGGGATTCTCTCTCTCTCTCTCTCTCTCCCTTCTCTGCCCCTCCCCCATGCTCTCTTTCCCAAAATAAATAAATAAAACTTAAAAAATATATTTAAAACTGCCAGTGCTAACAACAGTTCATAAGGAGTGAAGTAGAAGTGAATAATTTGCAGAGACTTAGGACTTCCCTTGTTAAAATTGAGAAGAGAGGAAAAATACAACAGTGGGCTTAAAATGCAAATACTGACAGTACTTTTTTCCTTTTCATAGTACTTTTTATTTTAGATAAAAATGGCAACACAACTATCAGTCTACTTAAACCAGGTATATTAAATCCTTTGCTCTCAGTAACCTTGTACTTTTGCTCGTTTCTATAAAACAGAAATATTATTAACAGTTACACACTGAAAGAGATAATAGGATATCAATAATTACTCTCCATATTGAAACAGAAACACATTTTAATCTCCCTATTTACTGGCAGTTCCCCCCAAATTATTGCCACACTTTTTTTTTTTTTTAAGTAAAACATCACTGAACTGGGATCAACTATTTTCACTATGTTAATGCTGCACCACTAATACAAAATCTGGGTTTTTATTTCACCTTTTAAAAAGATACCATCCTGTGTGCAAACAGTAATTACTTCCAGCTTCGCTGCTTGTCTCTCCTTTTCCCCAGTGCGTGCTCTCCCCCCTTCACCCCTGTCCCAGCCGCCTTTCCTCCCCCATCCTTTAGCCTATGTCACAAATGCCTCCATCTCCAACAGCTTCCCCTATTCCCCCCGTTCCCACCCATACCCCCCCACAAATGATCTTCTAAGTTATGAACACCCAACAAAACCTGATTTGTGCCGGTTTTGGTACTCCTTACGTAGCACCTTTCACCATGAGCACTTTAATAAATTTGTAGTTTCTACCAGATTATATGTTCTTTCTGGTATCATGATATATAGCACAGTGGTTTCCAAGTTTTTTCTTTTAAACAAAGCGCTATTAAAAATTAATGAGCGAGCTTTACACACCTCAACAAGAAAAGCAGATTTCACAGCTACAGGGATAAGGAGGCAGACCGGCACCCTGCGAACAGGAAGCCCCGGAACAGCCGCCTGCAGAAGAGCTGAGAGAGGAGCCGGGGCCGGGGCGATACAGGCACAGCTTTTGGATGGAGTAAGACGGATCTGGCACAGATCCCGGCCCAGCCGTTCGTCATGGTGAGTTTCCCTGAGCTACTGTGTCTTCACGTGCAGAATGAACGTTAACACCACGGATCCCACCCACAGGCTGACGCGGGAACTCCAAGAACTGAAGTGCCCAGAACGCAGCCCAGTCCATCTCAAAGAAGGCCCGTTCCCTCCCTCCTTCCTTCGGGAGGAGGGATCACGTCCTCAGGGAAAAGGAGACAGAGCAGAGCCTGGCAGGAGAAGGAACACTTGTGAAGGTTCCCTTCGAGCAGCTCGCGTTTCGAATCTCAAGTCTCAGCTCTGTCCAGGGAAGGTTAGTACCTCAGTTTTAGGATTAGCTAAATGCCACGGACTCTCAGACAAGAATTCAAATTCAGACATGTCCCTTTAAATTTAAGCACAGTAAGCTGACCAGGAAACCAGTATTTGATAACTGAGGGAAAAAGTTAAAAGTAACCTCTCAAATATTCCTAACTTCCAAATCTGATAGCCTCAATTATTTGGAAAAACTTAGACAATTGAGGAGTGTCTAAGATGTCTCTAAACATTAACTAGAGTTTATTTACAACCACATTTCTAGACCTCGCTTAGATCATTCATCCTGAGTTGTAGTATTCTACAAGTTAAAATTTCACAACACTGGGAAAAGGACAATTTTATTCCCATTTAATAAATGAGAAAACTGAGGTTAAACGGACCCTCAGGAAGGGCTTCCCAGTTCACGGGGCCCCTGTGAAGAACAGTGTCCCAGAAACCAAGAGAAAGACCCCTGAGAGGGGAATAAAAGGGATTAAAATCTGAAGGGACGTGGAGCAGACAACTCTTTGGGGGTTCTGGAGAGGAGAAGAGCAACACTTCTGTGTTTTCTAGAAGGCTAGCAGGTGGGCCCGGTGTGCTTTCGGCTTCGGCACCACCTGCAAGGAAGGGGGCTAGGAGGCCAGCATGGCTCCTCTGGTGCCTGTCCAGCTTCTCTCAGGCAGGAAAGTAGACATGGACTTGAGGCAAATACTCTATTCAGAAACGACTCCCAATATTTACTGAGCACCCTTGTAAGCACGGCACTATGCTAAGTGTTTCGCCTGTATTACGTCTGGGTCGTTACAAAATTTTTCAAAATAGTTAACACATATCCGCCATTCTATAGACAGGGAAAGAGGTTTGGAAAGGATGCTGTGCCCAAGGTCACAGTTAGACAGGATTCAAACCCCCTTCACTGACCTAGTGGTTCCCAAGCTCGTATCCATGTCAGAATCATGTAGGAATTCCAACGACAATAATAACACAAATGCCTGGGCCTCACTGTACTGCCTCCACTCTGCACCCACCCCATTCACAGGAGAAGGTCCAGGAGCCTAGGTGTTTCAAAAAGCCCTAAGCAGCTCCTGAAACAGCTGCAAAGCGCTAGTCCAAGGGACTGCACTGGCCGACACAGGTGTCCGTGGTCAGGGACTCTCCTTTATCGTGGCAAAGCTGGCTTTCCTCACAAGAGCAATCAACTAAGGCTCATCGTACTTTCCGTTTTCCCAAAAAAGTTCAGCTTATTTGCCGTAAAAAATAAGAGACATCATTAAGGGCATACAGATATTCTCGGTCTTCACAATAAATTAAAAGGGGAAGAAGGGCATACAGAACTTTCTCATGTCAATATCTTAAATGGCTGAGAAACAAGGGGAAAGATATATTTTGGGAAGACAATGACTGTCTGTAACTTGCAGCAAAGACAGCGACAAAGGCTCTCTCCTGACCAAACTTAAGTCAGGCTCTTCTTCCAAGCCTCTTCTCAACTCGTCTTCCATCTGGGATTGTGTCCATCCCTGGGCTTGCAGCATCCAGGTTTAGCAAGAATTCTGCTAAGTCCTTTTAGGAAGCATCCTCAGCCTTGATATTTTATCACCTTGGTCTGTGTTTAGCAAGAATCACCACTTCCTCTCAGCAGTTTTCACCTCCTGACCTACACCTTGCTCCCTGAACGTGAATCCCTCCCAGTCTGTGCTGTATTCAGACTCGAGCCCAGTTCTACACTGAGGCCTCTTTTTCCCTATAGCAACAATCCCAAAATAAAATCCACTTTTATCACTTTGACTACACTGGATGGCTCTGATTTTTCTTTAACAACATCAAAATCTAAACCCACCTAAAAGCGATAAGCAAAGCAATCAATACGTTAAAAATTTATACTCAGATCATGTCAACAGTCAAATGTACCATAAATGGGGCAATGGGAAGCTTTCAGAGAGTCTGAATCCAATTCTCAGCAGCTACCCAAAGACAGTGACTAAGATCATATCCTTGCCTGCTGGGGTGGGGCCATGAAGAAAAAGAGCCGCCTGAATAGTATCGATAGGTTGGTGAGCTGGTAACATTCTCCAGGACAAGATTTTATCTGGGAAAAGACAGGAGAGGAGAGTAGACTTAAAATCATAGTTTTTATAAGCTTTCATATGCCCAAATATTAGCAGCAGCTCTTTTGGAATATAAGATTATAAATAATTCAGATTTTTTATTTAGAGCTTTTCTTAAATAAGTTGTTTTTCTTTCATTAACCTAGATTATTTTTATGAGAAAAGGGTTTTGACACCATATTTAAAAACAACCCTTTGGTGTTGACCATTGGATGTTATATGTAAGTGACGAGTCACTAAATTCTACTCCTGAAAATATTACGCCACATGCTCGCTAACTAGAATTTAAATAAAAATCTGAAGGAAAAATAAAGAAAAATAAAAACAACCCTTTGGGATTTCTATTTTGAATCACTGTTTTGATGATAACTTGATATGTTAATCCCCTACTCAATGACAGTTCATGGAATTTTGTACGATCTAAGCACAACAGTGCAGAGACAGGTATAACTCTAAGACAGAAGCTCCATTAAAAGATTTCTAAGATCAATGTCCTGGCAATCAATTCCTATCATAATGTACTAGAGCTTTTATTTGATTTGAAAAATAATATACATAACATAAAAACTACTATGGATCTGCTTTGTACAAGACGTGCTAAGGATTCAGAAGTGGGTAAGTGCTCCAGACCACTAGCCATGGAGACATACACACCAGCTGTTCAGGTCACTGGACCTCACTGGATTTAGTCTACAACATCTTTCAACAGTAAACTAAGAAATATATGGCATAATAGCTACTAAGAAATGAAAGACACATGGACCCACATAAGATCTTTATCACAGGTCAGGGACAAAAAACCCAAAATAACAAACAAATCATGACCATATCATATGGAATATATCAAACATCTCAAAATCTGAAAACAAAAAAAGATCAACACTGAAAAGATTAAATCATCACTACATCATTTTCTCTTTATATCCGTTCACAAAGCATGATTTCTTTCCCAAAAGGCGTAAGTTTCTGTCACATTAGTTCCTCTCAAATCATTCTGACCGAGAGACAATAAAATCAAGAGGCACCTTGTCTAAGTCATATTAAAGGGAGAAAGAAAAGAATAACTCTCAGTAAGCAATATTACAACTATATTTTCGACTTTGCATTCAATTTTAAATTTATTCTCAGTTAACCTAGTCTTTCTTTCTCAGACCAATTAATGAAATCCTGTAAGATTTTGAAAATATGAGACAATTTCCGCAGTTTTACAGTTTCTGATACACCTTTCTCAATAACGTCAGAATTAAAGCACAGCAAAGAAACTGCCAAAACAATTTAGCAATCAAACTATTTCTCCTTTTGATATTCACATTCTTTAAGATTATCGTATCCTTAAAGGAACTGCATGGAAAGTAGGTGTTTTAGACCTTGTAATTCTCCTCACCAGATGAGCCACTATGGTGACATGGTGTGCACAGAGTTCAGCAGTCCCATACCTGTGATTTAAGAGAAGACAATCTTTATGAAATAATTCATACAATCATTCAGAAAAGCAAGGAGATGAACTTCTAAAAAGCACTAAATATTCTAACCTGCAATTTTATCCATGGCCAAGGAACAGCACAATATACAAAACTACCTAGGCAACAGTTATCTATCAGCTTGAACCGCAGAAACGAAAATGGGAACCTAGTTCCTAATTAGTGCTATGCTATGAATCAAACCATTTGGGGCAGCTGGTAAAGGGTTATTGAGACAGAAATTTTCTTTAAGCTTACATTATAACATCATTTACTCTCAGTTACTACTATAAATCAATCCAAAAACCAAAAAAATACATCGTACCGTGAAAGGAAGCACCATGTATCCATAGCTAACAAAGAGGTGATCAGATTAGCACTAAGCACAGCATTCAACAGAGCAACATCCTAATGAAAAACAGAAAGTTCATGATAAATTATGATTACTATTACATTTCTCAAAATAAAACAACAAAACACCATCACAATCCAAATAACAACAGATCCTCAATGGGAAGGTTCAACTCTCTAGTATCTGAAAGAACCTATAGCACCATTGCCTCAACACTGATGAGCACCTACTGTATGTTAAGCATTATGCTGGGCTATGGAGATTCCAAAGTGATTTTAAATGTGTTTACTCAATCATTAGGATCCACAAAGATTCTAGTGCTAGATATTAACCACTGTAAAACATCTTAAAGGATACTGATCCTTATGTAAATCCTAAGAATTTCTTCCCCACAATTGTCTCAACATCTTTTCTAATTTAATTCCGTTAAAGAAACTCAACATTATGCCTAAGATCTACAGACTTGGTACTACAATCTACTACTTACTTCTCCTTCTCTTTATGGAACAGAATTAGGTAAAGTTCGAACATTTTTTCTCTTTTCACTCCATATTTCCATATCTTGCCACCTAAAATGTTTTCTCAAATGTTCTGGCTGACCATTACATCTGAATACCACAGGGCTCTAGGATTACCATTTCCTAAGACACAACTGAATCATAGGGTGAAATGTGCAAACTCAGAGAATGACATCTGAAAACATGAACTGTTCCTTTCTTCTGCATATAAATCAAAACTTCAGTGAAAAGAAAGTAGAAGGGTAGTCTCAGTGTAGCCCAGCAGGTAGCAAACTTACCAGCTCAGGAAACAGTGAGGGATGAAAGGAAGCGACAAATGTGCACAGATGAACACAAACATGCTGATACAAGGTGACAGCAACCTCCGCTTGCCCTTTACTCTTTACTCCTTGTAGGTGAACAGGGAGAGAGAGTTCACCAGAACACTGCTCAAAACTGTAGAAAATGGCTTTAAATAGAGATACCCTGCAGGGACATTGAGAGCACTGAACGTTATGAACATTTTAATAATTAGCAGGTATAATAATAATATGACATAAGGAGGGTTATTTTAGCAAAGCAAAATGTCTCAAGAGGTATGTATCAACAACAGTTTCCACTGTGTGTGAATACATAACCATAAAAATAAAATATAATCATTGTTTGACAAATTTCTTTTTTTTTATAATGTTTATTTATTTTTGAGACAGAGAGAGACAGAGCATGAACAGGGGAGGGTCAGAGAGAGAAGGAGACACAGAATTCGAAACAGGCCCCAGGCTGAGCCGTCAGCACAGAGCCCGACGCGGGGTTTGAACTCACAGACCGCGAAATCATGATCTGAGATGAAGTTGGACACTTAACCGACTGAGCCACCCAGGTGCCCCTGTTCGACAAATTTCTTAAAGGAAAAGAATTTTCTGTACCTTTTTTTCCTTTTTTTTCTAACCAAATGTTTATCACAGTACTGAACTACACAAAGTCACAGACAAAAGTCATCAAAGAACCTGAAATTTAAATATGGATTAGATACTCTATATAAAATAGAAAATAGGTATAAGAAAGGGGTCATTCTGAGGCGCCTGGGTGGCTCAGTCAGGTAAGCGTCCGACTTCGGCTCAGGTCATGATCTTGTGGTTTGTGAGTTCGAGCCCCGCGTCAGGCTCTGTGCTGACAGCTCAGAGCCTGAAGCCTGCTTCGGATTCTGTGTCTCCCTCTCTCTCTGCCCCTCCCTCGCTCACACTGTGTCTCTTGCTCTCTCAAAAATAAATACACATTAAAATAAAAAGATAGAGGGGTCATTGTAAGATTGAAATGGTTTAAGAAATCTTCATAGAGGATTTAAATAACAAGTTAGAAATAGGCAAAATATAAACAGGCAGAGAAGACAAAGTACGAGGAAAAGGCAGGCAGGAGTAACCAGCATGACAAGAGCAAGCAAGCGACAGGACGAGCAGCAAAAATGGGTGATGGCGGCAGAATGCGATGGACTTAAGATGCAAAGCTAAGCGGTTCCGCCATCACGCTTTTGTTTTTGAGGAGAACAGGAGGCTCACAGTTGGGCTTCAGGGGGACTAACCGGGTGGGTGGCACGCGGCACGGGCTAGAGGAGAGGGCAGACACTGCAGCAGGTATAACCCAGGGAGTAAGACTACTGCCTGGCGGTGGCAAGGGGGACAAATACGCGTGAAATCTCCCGGGAGGGAACTTACAGCATAGAGCATTGTTTCTCAGAGCTCAGTTTTAAATGTTAGTAAACGCATCTGCCCTATTACTCTCAGCGTTTATAACACTGAGTATTAGTCAAAACCTTCTAAAACACTGCAAATATTTTTAGCATCTGTTACAGGTTTATATATTTTGAATCTATATTTATAAGTAGCAGTATAGATGAGGTCTACACAGGAGTAATTAACTGGAAGACCTTAACTTCAAATTCATTCCCAATGGCGGACATTCGAAACCCTCTCTAGCATGACTGAACATCACCACCACCGTGTCAGCTACCTGGTTTTCGCTTCCAGGAGCTGGCGTTCTGTGCACCACAGGGCCTGCACATCCTCGGGCTGAGAGGGCAGCTTGTCCATGATGACAACCAGCAGAAGACACTGTGGGAACTGCAGTTCACATGGCAGCTCTCACACGTAATAAGAACACGTTCGTTAAGTTACAACCAATTGGTAAAAACATACTCTACGTAATTTCAACAGAAATCTGCTCGTGATGTGTAAAGGAAGGCAGAGGCATAATTGTTTTCTTGGAACATATTTTTCATTTAAAAAAAAATAGAAGGAATTTTAAATAAAATTTTTAAAAGGGATGATTGATTATGTAAGGGAAATGACCCTACCTCTAACATGCAATAATTACTGAAGGGTTTAAAAGTAAATCTGTTTTGAAGCTTACCTAACTTACTATCCAAAACCACCTGCACGAAAGGTTGACATGTGAGAAGCTGACTGATGAGCGGATCCAGTGTAACTAGGAAAGTCCCTGCTATTTCCTCCTGTTGTGCTTTAGAAATCCTGGCAGCATATAGGCTTGGAGGAAACTTGCTGGAAAGGCAGGGAAAAAATGCATCCATTAATAGGTCTCTCCTAATTTTAGGTAGACATGAGTATTGTAAATTCATCTTCTAGCAGTGAAAATATAGAAAAAATAAGTAGCATGTATTTTATAACAAAATTCAAGGTACTAAATTGATACCACAATTGTATGAGGACCTCCAAACTAAATAACATGACTATAATTCCACAAAATTAAGTTTTATAACCTTATAGAAATCTTTGGTATTGTTTTGATGCATTTTGATACCATTTTGACAGCAGTGTCCTTAAAAAAAGACCATGAAAATATGAATTATCAAATAACCAGTAAAAACATTACATATAGAAAGGTATTTCTGATAAATACTGGCTTACACACTTCTATTAAAAGTTGTTTTAAACTAATGCAGAATGCTGAATTTACTAGGAAATAATGCTCAGAAACAAGGGCTTTGTGAGAATTAAATGGTATACTAGTCCTGAAGGAAGATGCAAAGACTTTTTCATGGAAGATGTTTCAGGAGGTACAGTTAAAACGAAACTTCAGCCAAACTTATGTGAAATAAGATGTGTATTCAGTACTTTCTGCCATGTTATTTTAATTGTGGCAAACTTGAGGGTACTTGAGAAAACCCTGTCTAGCAGGAGATAACAGCATTTGAAGGGATGCACTTAAGATACACATTTGAGGCCTTTGAAGTGTGATGGAAAAAGCAACAGTCTGTCAATTATTAGTTGCTTGAGTTTGGTTCATTCATTTGACCTCCTTGAACCTCAGTTTCTTCATTTGTGGTGTTGATTCAGAGTGGCTGTGAAGATTAAATTATAAGTAAGGTGAAAGATATACATAAATAAAAGGTAATGAAACTCCACAGACTTGAACTATAGCTACTAAGCATCAAAGCAAGTACTTGTTTTTCAATCAAAAATTTTTTTAATGTTTACTTATTTTGAGAGAGAGAGAGAGAGACAGAGAGAGATTGTAAGTAGGGGAGGGACAGAGAGAGAGGGAGACACAGAATCTGAAGCAGGCTCCAGGCTCTGAGCTGTCAGCACAGAGCCTGATGCGGGGCTTGAACTCATGAACTGCCTGACCTGAGCTGAAGTCAGATGCTTAACCGACTGAGCCACCCAAGTGCCCCTCAATCAAATGGTGTATTTTTAAATTGATTTATGTGACAGCTGTTTATTAAATGCCTGTCTATACGCTCCATGCACTGTTCCAGAAGCAGGTAACACAGTGGTAAACAGAACGTACCAGATCACTGCCTTTACAAAGTTCACATGCTAACGAAGGGGGGCAGTTAGCAAACAAGGAAGCAAGTAAATCCATAATATAACAAATATTAATCATTTGAAGGTTTGTACAGCAAAGTCCCATGATCTCCTTAATGTCTTATCGCTCACTTTGACTATGGTACGGACGAAAGACTAGAGGGAGGCAAGGGAGGAGGGAGACAGTGGGTGGGATGCTCTCCGTGGAAACCCAGGTAAGAAACAATAATGCGTGACATCAGATGTGAGCAGTTCTGGTGGTGAGAACTGGCTGGGTCCTGTATACATACATACTGAACCCATATACTAGGTATATCTATTTATACTGGAGGGGACACTGACAATTTGTTATTGGGCGAGATGTGGATACGAAAACAAGGAAAAGTGTCAGAGATGACCAGGTATTTCGGCCTGATGAGTTTGAAGAACGAAGTTGCCTGGGGACTGGCTGCTCAGGCCACCCAGCTGAAGCCGAGAAGAGGACCTGCTGAGAAGGCACAGCCATGAGGTCAGAAGAGAACAAGAGGGAGAGGTACCTACAAGCCAACGGAAGGAAGTGCAAAAGGGAGGGTCAAGCGCTGTGAACAGGTTACATACGCGGAGGCTTAAAACTGACCACCAGATGTAGCAACGTGGACGTCACTGATGAGCTTGACAAGAGCTGTTTTGGCGAAGTGGTGGCATCGACAGCCTGACTAGAATGGCCCCAAGAAAAAAGGTAGAGACAACGGTATAGACAGACAACTCCTGGGACTTTTGCTGTAAACAGAGGCAGAGAAATGGGAAGGCATTGGAGGAGGCTGTGGACTCGAGAGGTGTTGTTCTGTATTCTTACGATGTCGACCATGGGGAAAGTAACCGCATGCTGGTATCCAGATGAGAAAGGCCTAGTAGGAGGGAAGACTGGTGATGCAAGAGGGAAGGGAACAACTGCTAGAGAGAGACCCCTGAGCAGGCGAGTTCAGGGGACCAGCGCGTACAGGCCGGCCTTAGGCGGGCGCGGACACTCACTCACGGGTCAGCGACCACATGGACCGAGACACAGGCGCGACAGTCAATGAGCGGAGGAAGCCATGCCTTCTCAGTGACATACTCAGTGAGGACGTTAACTGGCAACGGGGAATGGGGAGGAGGTGTCAGAGACGTGGGAAATTTGAGGAGGGAGAGGTATGAAAAAGGGGTATAGAAGACTAGAAAGCACTGCTGGACAAATGAGATGACAGAGTATCTTAATGCCAAACGGAGGGCTCTTTGGAGGGTCTGTCAATTTCACATGTCGCTCAGCCCCTACCTAAATAATACTTTTCTGGATTTCAATGTTTTCCCTCAGATGGAGTTAACTACTACACATCTTAAATCTCACAGAAGTTAAAATAAAAATTTACAACGATAAAGAACAATACATCCATGTACACAGAGGCTTTTTTTTTTTTTTTTTTTTTTTTTTTTTTTTTTTTTTTTTTTTTTTTTTTTTTTTTTTTTTGCCTTTAGTATTTATCACCATACCAATTATTCATCACTCGGGTACGAGATACTAGTTAAGAGTAAGTAAAACTCACATGGAATCTGTTCTTTAAAAGCTTCCACATCTAATTATTTTAAGCAAGCAGTTAAAAGTTTACTGAAACAGTAAAAAAAAAATTACTTTCATGTTTTATTTTGAATGGCATATGCTTGATCTCTGCACAGTTCAAATGGCACTGTTACATTTTAATGATCACATGGCATTCTTCTTACCTGTGTATCTGAAGATAAAGCTGGTGCAATGTGCAGCAAGAATCAGAGAGTAAAGGAAGAAATTCCTAAAATAAAACAACTCTAGTCATTCTTTGAATGCGCTGTGGTTTTCTAATACACAGCCCCTCACAAAGACATGCAAAATAAAATAAAATCCTGGATGTGCCGCATTAAAGAAAAAAAGAGGTTCTTGCACGAGGACAACAAGGAGGATGAGGCTAATCAGCACCTAATTTGCTGTTAAAACTGTCACTACAACCACAATTAGCAGAGATCGCTTCCTGAGAACCTACTAAGCGCTCAGTACACATGTAGCAAGGGACTTTGTATCACTTTATTTAATTTTAGTCCTCTCAAAAATCTTAGATTCAATTCACAGAACAGAAAGCTAAAGCTAAAGTATCAAGTAACTCAATCAAGTCTCACAGCTAAAAACCAGCATGGCTAGGATTCAAGCACAGTTGTGCAGCTCCATTATGGTTAGGCTACCTCTCAGGAAGTAAAATAAATAGTTCCTGGTGTAATACAGGGTACAGAAAAAAGCTGATTTTTCTTTTTTAAAAATTAAAAATTCCTGAGAGAAAAGAAATGATTAAAAACGGCATGATTAGGTGTAATTTTGCCTCCTACACACAGAGCAAATTATCAGATGGGTAACCACCCATGAAGTGCCATTGGTGCCAGGACCCTCCCACCACGGGCCCTGCCAGCTGCAGGGAACCCAGGGTGCGAGCAGCCAACCGGGAAGTGGCACATGCCCAGACCAGCTCGGGCAGCACACCCAAAAGGAGGGCAATGTGCTGGTAGTCTGTGTGCCTGCACGGGAGTCCCAACTACAAGAAACAGTCACTGGAGACCCTCATCTTCTCCTCCAAAGAGAGGAAGACAAAGTTAAAGACAAATTCTACACAGACAACCAACAGTTGTTTTTTTTTTTAAATCACCAATATGTATTAGTGACGTTTCCTGGACCGGGTGCTATAAGCATTCTCTGCTCTTCTCTCCAAATAATCTTCCTTGATAACTTATCTACTCCATCCAGATATCTCCAACTATCACTACTATCTTAAGGACTCCCAAATATGCAAGTCTACTTTAAATTATTATACAGCTTTACAACTTTGAACATTTCAACTTTAATAATTAAAAAATTCAGAAATATAGTAAAAGTAATTTATGAACAGTATTTAAAGCCAAATTGAATTATCTTCTGATAACTGACTTGTGCTTATAGAAGTAATTTTATTTGTATTTATACTTAAAGAACTGATTTTTCCAGAGAATTGAATAAAAATAGTAACATGATGGTAGCAACTTAAATGATATAACAGGTGCTCAACATTTAATAACAGTATTTTTAAAAAACCTATAAAACATATTCTTCACAAAATAACTTCAACAGATTGATCTTTTGGCAGGAATGATAAAAACAGGATAATTTATAATTTATTATAGATTTCACATTTACACATTCAACAAAATAAGCCTTACCTTAGTATAGTGCAAAAGGGAGTTGGCAAAGAAGCGACACAATTTGAGTGTTTTCTGAAATAATCTATAGTCAGCATTATCCTGTTCCAAAAAAGGAAAAAAGCATAATAAATAAGAAAAGAGTAAGAAATTAGCTAAGCTTGTAAATGAGACAGTATTTTCTAAGAAGATTTCTTAATAAACAGAATATAAGCATTTTCCAAGTAAACATAACTCTCTGAATTGTTAGGAGCAACATAAACATTAAATGATAGAGAGATTTCAAAAAATTAAACTCTACTGAAAATAAATTTTACTTTATAATAGCAAAAGGGGTGGTCATCCCTGGTTGATCTGAAAGTAAAAGAAATTTAACTACCTTATTATGTTTTGCTATATGGAGAGCAAACAGATGATCAAAAAAGTCTCCAACCAATAAAAGAATGATATATGAAAGAAAACAGATAAAAAACTTCTCATGTCAGTTCAAAGAAAAGAAAATACAAGTTGCCAATAAACTAACATTGAAAGAATTCAATTTACAACCTAATTAGATATCTTTTAAAGGGAAAGGGGGCGGGCTATTAGCAAACATAAAAAAGACTGATAATATCGAAAAGTTGCTGAAGAAGTGGGGTAACACCCACTTTATCGTTCATGGGAGCATAAAATACAGTCTTTGCATTATTATTTTTAAAAGCTAAAGTATTGAATTCCCTTGACACATTAGTAGTTCCACTTAGATCCTACAGAAATACTAGCTTGCACAGGGGCGCCTAAGTGGCTCAGTCAGTTGAGTGTCCAATTCTTGGTTTTGGTTGAGGTCATGATCCCACAGTCATGGGATGGAGTTCTGTATCGGGCTCCACAATGAGCATGGAGCCTGCTTAAGATTCATATTCCCTCTCTCTCTCTCTCTCAGGGCACCTGGGTGGCTCAGTTAAGCCTGACTCTTGGCTCAGGTCATGATCTCACGGTGTGAGTTCAAACCTGGTGTTGGGCTTTGCACTGACAGCGCGGCACCTGCCTGGGTTTCTTTCTTGCCCCTCCCTTGCTCCTGCTCTTTCTCTCTCTCTCAAAACGGATAAACAAAACAAGAATTAAAAGACAACAACTCGGGGCGCCTGGGTGGCGCAGTCGGTTAAGCGTCCGACTTCAGCCAGGTCACGATCTCGCGGTCCGTGAGTTCGAGCCCCGCATCAGGCTGTGGGCTGATGGCTCAGAGCCTGGAGCCTGTTTCCGATTCTGTCTCCCTCTCTCTCTGCCCCTCCCCCGTTCATGCTCTGTCTCTCTCTGTCCCAAAAATAAATAAAAGACAACAACTCTCTCTTCCCCTGACATTTTCCCCCACTCAGGCTCTCTCTCTTTCAAAAAAAGAAAAAAAGAAAACACAAGAAATACATACTAGCTACCACAGAAATGCAATGCAACATTTTTATATAGTGAAAACTGAAATGAACCAAGTATCCATCAACTAGAGAATGGGTAAATAAATTCAAGGTATTTTCATAAATAATTGCATAAAGCTATTAATAAAAGAATTGGGGGTAGGGCGCCTGGGTGGCTCAGTCAAGTAAAACGGCCAACTCTTGGTTTCAGCTCAGCTGATGATCTCCCAGGTCAGGAGTTCGAGTCCTGTGTAGGGCTCTACGCTAACAGTGCGGAGCCTGCATGGAGTCCTCTCTCTCCCTCACTCTCTGCTCCACTCCCACTCGCTCTCTCTTAAAAATGAATTCATTAAAAAAAAAAAGAATTGGGTAGGTTTATCTTCACAGACATACAAAGCCCTGAGGTAATTAAGTAAAATTTCAAGTTGCAAAACAATATGTATATAATCCTATTATTATTGTAAAATGCATTATAAAATGTTAATATTTGCTTCTTCTTAACCCCACAAAAATAAATCAAAACTTTACCTACGGTTCTCTCTAGAAGATGAAAGTAGGATTTCACTTTCCATGTTAAATATTTCTGTAACATGTGAGGATTTTGTGAGTATATATTACATTTGTAAAATGATACAACAGTGGGCGATGCCAAGTTAGCTATGTGCTTGCAGGGGAGGTAGAGACTATGGAGTCATCCTGCCTGGATTGAAATCCTGGCCCTATCACAACTGCTACATACCCTGAGAAGGTTATTAAACCTCTCTATGAGGCTGCGATGTGTGGCTTATACCATAGTTTAAAGTGAGGTTTACACAGTGCCTGACACTTTGGGCAACTTAACTCAATAAACGTGGGTTGCTTTGTCACTCCAATGTGTAATACACAGTATAATCCAAAAAGCTTTAATCAGTACCATAAACTTAAGCCAAACAGATTCCTTATTGTCTTTAATTCTGAGAATAATTTCATATGAAATAGCATATACTAACTTTAATGTTAATCGATTACGCTGGATTCCTTTCCAATACAGCAAAACCTTAAATAAACCAATCAAAACAGAAATGGATGATTCATTAATTAAATATGACCCTTCATTTTGACCTTTATTAAAAATATCTGGAAACAGTAAACAGTCCTCAGCAGAAATAGGTTAGATGAAAATTCACCTTCCTGATAATAACAAACATGAATTTTCTTAACAGAGTGCTATGAATCTACACTGACCTTATAATACACTTAATAAATCTTTTTTTTAAAGTTTTATTTAAGTTGAGATATAGAGAGGGAAAGTGGGGAGGGGCAGAGGGAGACAGAGACGGGGAGGGAGGGAGAGAGAGAAAAAGAGAGAGAATGAATCCCAAGCAGGCTCTGCACTATCAGCACAGAATCCAATGTGGGGCTCGAACTCACAAACTGTGAGATCATGACCTGAGCAGAAGTCAGACATTTAACTGACTGAGCCACCCAGTACCCCTACACTCAATGAGAAATCTTAAGCTTAAGGGCTTAAGTGTCTCTTGATTTCGGCTCAGGTCATGCGCTCAAGGTCGAAAGACTGGGTGTGAGATGGAGCCCTGTGACATGCTCCACACTCCTGCTTGGGATTCTCTCTCCCCCTTTCTCTCTGCTCCTCCCCCAAAGTTGCACACACTCTCTCTCTCTCTCAAAATAAATAAACATTAAAAAAAGAAAAAAGAAATGTTAACCTTAGATGTCATTCACAAGAAATCTTCCCTGACTTCATGACTGGATTCCTACCTTTACTACCACAAGCCAACACCCAGTTCTCCAAAGATAATTATTCTATAACTATCTGTTTATTTTTCTGCTGCCCTAGACTATAAATTGTTGAAGGCAGAAAATCTAACTTACACAGAATAAGCACTCTGGAAATGCTTATGAAATGAATGGCCAGTGACACACTGCTTATTATGTTTGCCTACTTTCAATTTTTCTTTCTCATTGAAGGAGACATTGTACAGATTTGGTTGAAGGATCTAGTTTTCCTTCATTACTAAGCAAGCATACTAGTTAAATATAGAGCTTTTATTCTGACATTTTTAAAAGTGAGTGTACAACTGATTATCCCATCTCGATTTACTGAATAGTTCAAAACAAAAAGTTTGCATCCCACTGTCAACGAAAAGGGGTGAAGATATAAGCAAGGAAGATCATTTTCAGTGTTTCAAAATACTGAGCATCCTTTCTTTAAATAAAACAAAAATACTAATAAAATCTAAATGCAGCATGCAATAAAGTTAAGCATAGGCATATAGATATAAAAGTACACGTCTATTACCAACAAAATGAAAGGCAACCTACTGAATGGGAGAAGATAGGTGCAAGTGATATAACCAATAAGGGGTTAATATCTAAAACACATAAAGAACTACAACTCAACACCAAAAAAAAAAAACAAACAAACTGATTAAGAATGGGTAGAGGACCTGAATAGATAACTTTTCCAAAGAAGACATACAGATGATCAACAGGCACATGAAAAGATGCTCAGCATCACACATCATCAGGAAAATGTAAATCAAAACCACAATGAGATATCATCTCACACCTGTCAGAAACGCTAGTATTAAAAAAAAAAAAAAAAAAGAAATAAGAGCTGGTGAAGATACAGAGAAAAGGGAATCCTCATGCACTGTTGGTGGGAACACAAACTGACCAACAGTGTGTGTTGGTCAGAATGTAAATCAGTACAGACACTATGGAAAATAGTACGGTGGTTCTTCAAAAAATTAAAAATAGAAGCCATACAATCAAAATCCCATGTCTGGGTTTTTGATGAAAACAAAAATGTTAATTCAAAAAGATACATGCGCCCTGATGTTTATAGCAGTATTATTTATAATAGCCCAGATATAGAAGGAACCTAAGTTTCCAACTACAGATGAATGGATAAAGAAGATGTAGTATATAAATATATATACCACAGAATATTACTCAGCCACAAAAAAGAACGAAATTTTGCCCTTTGGGACAACATGGATGGACTAGAGAATATTATGCTAAGTGAAGTCACAGAAAGACAAATACCATATGATGTCACTTATATGTGGAATCTAAAAAACAAAACAAACAAAATAAAACCGAAACAGGCTCATAAGTGTAAAGAACAAACTGGTGGTTGCCAGAGGTGGGGGTGGGGAGGGGGAGTAGGAGGATGACGGAACAGGGTGAAGGTCAGTGGGAGGCACAGGCTTCCAGTTATGGAATGAAAAGTTATAGGGATGAAAGGTGCAGCATAGGAAATATAATCAATGGCATTGTAATAACGCTGCATGGCAACAAATGGTAACTCTATTGTGCTGAGCACTTCATAATGTATACACAAATGTCAAGTCACTGTTGTACATCTGAAACTAAACAGTAAGTCAACGATACTTCATTTAAAAATAAGGTGTTTTGGGGTGCCTGGGTGGCACAGTCAGTTAAGCGTCCGACTTCAGTCAGGTCATGATCTCGCGGTCCGTGAGTTCGAGCCCCGTGTCAGGCTCTGGGCTGATGGCTCGGAGCCTGGAGCCTGTTTCCGATTCTGTGTCTCCCTCTCTCTCTGCCCCTCCCCCCGTTCATGCTCTGTCTCTCTCTGTCCCAAAAATAAATTTAAAAAAGTTGAAAAAAATAAATAAATAAATAAATAAAATAAAAATAAGGTGTTTTATATTTACATATTTAGAGTAAGCCATATATTTATATGTAAAAAAGTATATTTATTCTCTAAATACAAATTTTACAAGCATTATATAGACAAAAGTAGCATTTACAGTGGAAATTAAATTTATATTTAAGAGCTTTACAAATAAATTTCCTTATCTTTACAGAAAAACTAAATCATTTGTGGTTAAAAAACTGTATGTTAGGGGCGCCTGGGTGGCGCAGTCGGTTAAGCGTCCGACTTCAGCCAGGTCACGATCTCACGGTCCGTGAGTTCGAGCCCCGCGTCAGGCTCTGGGCTGATGGCTCGGAGCCTGGAGCCTGTTTCCGATTCTGTGTCTCCCTCTCTCTCTGCCCCTCCCCCGTTCATGCTCTGTCTCTCTCTGTCCCAAAAAAAAAAAAAAAAAAAAAAAAAAGTTGAAAAAAAAAAACTGTATGTTAAAAAATCTAATATGACATTCTCTTTTTGAACCTGTTCAAGACTTACCAGAAAATAAATATCAATCTTAGGCACTGTTATAGGTTGAACTGTGTCCCCTAAAAAGATATGTTGAAGCTTAATCTCCAGTACCTAAGAATGTGACTTTATTTAGAAACAGGGTCATCACAGATATAATCCGTTAAGATGAGGTTACACTGGAGTAGGGTGTACCCTCAATTCTGAATGACTGGTGTCCTTACATGAAGATGAGGTGAAGACACAGGGGGAGAACACCACATGACGATGGCAGGCGGAGCATGGAGTTCTACAGCTGCGAGCCAAGGAATGTCAGTGACACCAGAAACTAAGAGATGGAGCAGACTCTACCCTAGAGCCTTCGAGAGAACATGGTCCTCCTGCTATATCTCAGACTTCTCTCCTCCAGAACTATGGGAGAATAAATTCCTGCTGTTTCAAGGCACCCAGTTTGTGGTTTGTTATGGCAGCGCAGGGAACCTGATACAGGGACTGATACATCTGTATGCTTCCAAAAGTAGTATATTAGCTATTAAATCTGGTGGTTTTATTTTGATGTTTTTGAAAACGAAGTGAGAAAACTGCTTCAGGACTTTAATATAAATCGGTCAATTCCTCAATAAATATCAATAGTGAACAGCAGAGGGCGCTGCTGACCAGAATTATGAGTTCAAAACGGACCACCTACACAGACCATCTCAAAGCTCCCTTTCAGGCAGTGGACAGTCAGTAGTGTTAGTCACTTTATCAGTCCCAAATTTTCACAAGGGAATACATGAAAATTTCCTTGGGCAGTTAGGAAAGTTTATAATTTAAATTCTTTAAAAAAAGTTTTTTTTCATGTTTGTTTATTTTTGAGAGAGACAGAAACAGAGCATGAGCAGGGGAGGGGCAGAGAGACAGGGAGACACAGAGTCTGAAACAGGCTCCAGGCTCCGAGCTGTCAGCACAGAGCCCGACGCAGGGCTTGAACTCACGGACCTTAAGATAATGACCTGAGCCAAAGTCAGACGCCCAATCAACTGAGCCACCCAAGCACTCCATATAATTTAAATTCTTTGATTTCTATATACAAGCCGTTTCTAACAAGCTGAACTTAAATACTTTGTGTACAAAGAGCCACCCTAGTCAGGCCTCAGGACTTCTTTTCTCTTCCACTATACTGTTGCTTGGGCTCTCCCTGTCTCTCTCCTGTCCCGCAATCTCTGTCTAATCTTACTTTCCCAGCACTAGCTGGAGAGTCTGTGGGGTCAAGTTAAGCAAGAAGGAAACTGGGAAAAGAGAAGGTCGGGGTTGAGGATAAAGGTGGAGAAGAAAACAGCCTTCCTGCCACTGACACAAGATACCCAACCAAATGTCTCCTCCTCACAGGAAGGTGAGGGGAATTGGCAAGGGCAGTAGGAGGACAGAAGTGGGGATGGAAAACAACAGGGGAAAACAGATGTAAGGGGAGAACAGATAAGAGAAAGAGAAGCAAGAAGGAAAAGGTTAGCCCCTTCCTAAAGCCACTCCTCAGTTCGTTCTTACCAACCTCAGTTTCAAACTCCCATCCTCCCCTAGGGTCTGTCTTTCCAGATCATCTCTGCCCCAGGAATTGCAACCAGTGCTTAGGAAAGGGATGAATCCTTACATGCCCACCCGCCTGAAGGCAAGGCAGGAAGGAGCACAGGTACAAAGGAATTGCCTGTATCAGTTAGCAAGTCTACAGCAGGAAAGGAGGTTACGGTTACTTTAAGGAAGAAATATTTAACTCATTTTCCCACTGAAGTTATTACATACAACTCTTAGGTCCTGACCACTATCAGTCCTATAATTTCGGGTCATTATGAGTTAAATAAAATTTAAAGGGCTAGTCTGAGAACAAAAGGCACTATGTATAAATCGATTTAGGAAAATGAACTATAATTCCCAATAAGCTTATTACAAATTTTTAGAGTACAGTATGTTTCATGAATGGGATGTCCATTCAACGCTGTAACTTTCTGAAATCAAAATAAACGTAAGCGCGCATCAATCTGAAAACACCGATACATACATATGCCCAGGAAAGTTATATATCACATCATTACAGGTTGCGATAGATTGGTGAAAAAAAGGCTGACTGTGGCTGTATCAAGACGACCTTAAGTGAACACAGGACTAAGGAGTTAGATTTTTGTCCGAGGGTAGAAAAGAATCAAAGGATTCTGAGGGGAGTGCCTCAACCAACCAGTCATTGTGTATAAAGGGAACAACTAGTCTCTAGAGGGAATAAGAGCTGGCAGAGTCTAATGCAATGTTTGGGGTGAAAAGTAATCACGGGCTATAAATAATCCTAGATTGAAAAAAACAAAAACAAAATAAGTGAAGATCCTTTAAGGTAAACCGATCCATAGATTCAAATGAGATTTAGTTAACTGCCAAAGGAAAAAAGAACGACTGTTCAACGTGCTGTTTAGACTCTATTTTACCTGTGCATCTGACTGCGTCATCTGCTCAGCTAACTGTAAGCATGAATGGAAGGAGAAAAGAATGTCTTCACACAAGCGGGTAATTATATCTTTGTGTTTCAGCTGACTCTTTATAACCGACTGGTGCTTAAGGCTCTGCCTAAATGAATAAAAAGAAACAATCACAAGTAATACATCAAGTAACATAGGACCATAGAAACAGGACTTGAGGGGCACCTGGGTGGCTCAGTTGGTTGAGCGTCCGACTTCAGCTCAGGTCATGATCTCACGGTTTGTGAGTTTGAGCCCCGCGTTGGACTCTGTGCTGACAGCTCGGAGCCTGGAGCCTGCTTCGGATTGTGGGTCTCCCCCTCTCTCTGCCCCTCCCATGCTCATGCTCTCTGTCTTTCAATAATAAACGTGAAAAAATTAAAAAAAAAAAAAAAAAAGAAGTAGGACTTGAAGTAACATGTAAAAATCACAATGGATCATATATATATTAGACATGGCATAATTAAGATATGCTGATGCTACTTCTGAAGGTGTCATGTTAGCTTAGTAAGGGGCTATTTTTTTTATTGCTCCTTATAAAATGTTAATTGAATTTAATGCTCCAGATATTCTGCTAGGCCCTGGGGATGGAGAAGTGAATGAAAACACAATCTCTGCCCTGCCTGCATGGAACTTCTGGTCTAGCACAAGAGAGAACATCACATAATTTTAAGAATAATTACAGTTGTGATAAATGCTGAGATAGAAAAGTCCAGGGTGCTACAATAGACAGACCTGAAATAACTTATTCTCAGGGTGAGAATATCAAAGTTATCTTGAGGATGTAACGCTGAAGCTGCGAACTGAAAAGATAAGCAGGAGTCAGCTAGGTGTGGACTATGGGAGAGGAACATCCCAGGCAGAGGGAAAGAGCATGGGGAGGCCCCAGGATTGGAGAGTTTGGTATGTTTGAGGAAGTAAGAGCAGGGAGAGAGCAGCAGAGACGAGCTGGTGAAGAAGGCAGAGGCTGGAGAGGATGAAGTTGTATCTCTTAGTAAACTGGGATGGATTTTAAGCAGTAGAGTGACATGATCTAATTTACATTTTCAAAAGATCAGACTGAACACTGGCTAGCAAATTAACTGGAAGGGTCCAGGAGTAGAAAATACTTGATAATGATGATAATGTGGTATTTCTTTAGGCACTTGCTACGTGCCATGCACAGCTGTAAGCATTTCATATCGATACACTCAAATTAACTCTCACTATAAACCCACCAAGAAGGTGCTATTGTTATTACTCCCATTTTCATATAAGCAAACTAAGGCTCAGAGAAGTTAACCATCTTGTCCGAGTGCTCAGGAAGAGGAAGTGATTTCAGAATGGACTCAAACACATGCAGTATGGGCTCTGGGTTGACACTTTCAACCACTGCACCTTTACTTGTTGGCAAATTAGTAACCTCCTGGTGGTGCAAGAGAAGTATCTAAGACCTAAAAATACTACACTGGCCTTTAATGTTTTATGCGTGTGTATAAAGTAGAGATTCTTAGCCATTTTACATCTCAAGTCTACCTCTTCCCACCCCTGAGAATCTGATGGGTACTCTCCCTGGTAACCCTTCGTAACACTCTAGCTAAAATTACTTTATAAGTGAAATTAAACTTCAACAACTCAAAGTCATATAACAAAGGGATTATATTTAGCTCTAATTATGACTATTTATCTAAGCCTGGAAACAAAACACTTGATGGGTTACATTACAGTAGCAGTAGTCAAGTGGTTAAGGCCCATGACCCATTATTTCGGAAGTACTAGTAACAAAGTCTAAATATTTTTTTAATTTTAGAAGTAGCACAGTGGAGAAGTCCAATTCGGTCTGGGAGCTACATGTACAATATGTGAATTACCAGACAGCAGCGTCAGTAAACATTATTTATACATACCCATACAAAAATGTTTTAAAATGCAACCTACAAAAACTTACAAATAATTAAGAATTGGAATATAGAAAATACATTACAAAAAGTAAAAGCAAAGAAAAACAACTTACTTAATTATAAATTTCCAAGTATTAGCATGAAATGCATGGTCCATGCTGGAAATAACAGAGCAGATATCCAACAATGAATGAATAACTACAAAAAAAAAAGATAACAGAACTCTTAGGACATTCAAATGTCATATGGGGTGAGTTTGCCCTATATTTAAACATATCTACTGAAGAATTTTGACATCTGTTAAATTAGGTAATGCAATTAGAAAAAAACTGATTCAGAATAATTATTAAAAAGTATCACACTTTTGTTTTTATAAATACAGAAAATTAATTTCTGACATTTACAACTACCTAAATAAAACTAAATGATCTAAATAAAACTAAAATGTTCGGTGGAATAAAAGTTGTGCCCTGTTATGACTGAAATATTCTATAGATATTCTAATCCAAAATGACAAAATAAGCTGCAAAGGAAAGAACTCCCAACAGGGAAGAATGAAAGTAAATCTGCACAGTGTTTAAGGAAAGCTTCTACTCTTCCATTTTATTTGTAAAAATGGCCAGTGACTTCCCCTTCTGTGTCCACACTCTTGGGCAGTTTCCTTCTACACTGATCTGGGGCTTAGCCACATGACTTGCTTTTGTTCAACAGGACAATAACTATAAGGACAGCAAAGACTTAAAAAGTGCTTGCACACTGGGGCTTATTCTCTCTTGATGACCGAGCCTGGGCTGGTCTCCTGGACGATGTGCCACACAGGGCTGGCTCAGTGCTTCTGCCTCTGCCAAAAGCCAGATACGCGTGAGGTCACTGACCACAAAAACACAAGTGAGACAGGTGCACCATGTGAAGCAGAGAAAGCTGTCCAAGCTGAACCCAGCCTAAACTGCTGACTCACAGAACCGTGAATAAATACAGCAGTAGCTGTTTTAATCCACTAGATTTTGGGGTGGTCTGTTACAGACCAAGAGGTACTCCTGACATACTGCACAAAACCAATTTATCTCTTTATGCTGAAGCTATGTATGCAATTTTTTTCCTGATATTACTGTTTTTCAAACTCTGGATGGTAGAATTATGAGGTAGCAATCAGCAATTCTTTAAAAATGAAACATGTAAAACAGGTTATTATTTTACGTATAATAAATGAACGTGCATACATACACGTTTAGAAACATGTACATATACATGTAACTAGATGTGTTCTGGGAAGAAATGCAAACTTCATTTCCTACTGAGCTAATGCTTTAAACACTCTAAGAACTACTGCCTCAAAATCTAAATTATTTTACAAGGTATACAGTTGCACAACTTTCTTGGAAAAATCATGTATGGCGAACACTGACAATACACAAATCTATGTTAAGGCATCACATAGCAATTTTATAAGTTCTAAAAGTTAGAAGACTAAAAACTTATCAGGTAGTGTTTAATTTTTTTTATACATAATAAGATACCATGAATCATTCGAAACAACGTTTCAGTACCATTCGGTTCGGTAACTGAATGGATATGCAGTTTAGTCAATATATGTCATATACTAAGTAGGAAGTTTTCTTCACTTACCTATCACCATATTCAAAATATCATCATTGTCATCTAATAAAGGGTCCATGCAAACCATATCCAGTAGTTCCATTAGCTGCTTTTGAAGAGAATAGGCCTCCTTGAAAAGAGCCTGGAGAAGGTCTGAAACTAGGTGTAAATGCCCAGAATAGACAGATTCGCTATCCTGATCACAAATAAAAATAAAAGAAACAGCAAATCATGAAAAGCTCAAGAGCCAAATTTACTTTAACTCATTCCATCAGAGCTCATAACTTTAGTGCTTTTTACTGAACCACGTATTTATTCATTAAACAAATGACCATTCATTATGAACAGTGTACTTCAAGAGATGCAGGCACATATAAAATAGGGTTTTTTTTAAACATTTATTCATTTTTGAGAGAGTGCGAGCGAGGGAGGGGCAGAGAGAGAGGGAGACACAGAATCCGAAGCAGGCTCCAGGCTCTGAGCTGTCAGCACAGAGTCTAACGCAGGGCTCCAACTCATGGATCGCGAGATCATGACCTGAGCTGAAGTCGGACGCTTAACCAACTGAACCACCCAGGTGCCCCTAAAATAGGATTTCTGACTTCTGAGACCTTGCAAATATAAAAAAAACTAAAAGGGAGATACACAACATTCGGTCAGGTGCAGACTTTTAGCCCTGTCACCAAAGAGAAGTGTTAAACTAGCGATTTTTATTCACTGAACCATACCAGTATCAAAACTGCCTGAGACCCACAAATTGTAGGCCAGCTTTGGTCCTTTAAAACTGCCTCAGGAATGTAGAGATGGACTGAAAAAGGGCTGGTGTCCTTTCAGAGGCACCCAATCATTAAGGAATTCATCTCATCCACCAATGCCATGACAGAACAACTTCAGGATTCCTGTGATTCAACACAAATCCATCTCTCTTCTTTCTTTATAGTAAGGAAATAGAATAAAACAACAAATATAAAACCGCAAAAGCCCATTTTTAATCACTTCCTTGTAACCACTTATTTTGAAGCAAATATTTACATATGGGCATACTTCAGAAATATTGCAGGTTCAGTTCCAAACTACTGCAATAAAATGAGTTAAATAAAGTTTTTGGTTTCCCAGTGGATATAAAAATTATGTTTACACTACACTGTAGTCTATTAAGTGTGAAATAGCATTATGTCCAAAAAAAACAATGTATGTACCTTAATCAAAAATTATTTATTGCTAAAAAATGCTAACCATCATCAGAGCTTTCAGCAAGTTATAATCACTAATCAGAGATTACCATAACAAATATAATAATGAAAATGTTTGAAATATTGGAAAAATTACCAGAATGTGACACAGAGACACGAAACAAGCAAATGTTGGAAAAATGGCACCAACAGACTGGCTAAACATAGGGTTGTCACAAACCTCCAATTTGCAAAAATGCGCACTATTTGCAACGTGCAATAAAACAAAGTATGCCTGTTCGTGGTTCTTTGTTCTATGGAAAAGTTTATTCCAATAATATAGGCTAATATGTAAAATCTTATGTACAAACACTATTTTCTTCAGCCCTTTTGCCTGCGGATTCTAGGCCATTTAAAATACACTTACACTCATTACTCACCTTACAATGTACAAATGTACTTTTGATTACATGTAGGACTGTGGAAGGAAGACTATGAATATTTTCTAGAATGATGGACTCCTGTGTGGCACAGATATGCTGAACACATCCTGTAAGAGCTGCTAAGAGCTGCACCATTGTCTGGAAATAAGGGAAGAGGTTTCATTCAGTTATGTTTTTGTGCACAAACATACAAAGGTATCAGATGATACGCTGGGTACTAGGGATACAGCAGTGAACACAATGGACACTCTGTTCCTTCTTTCATTGAACTTCAATCTATCAGAACTACGTTATCACGACAACTAGCTAGCCATTTGGTTAAAAAACAAAAGTTGGAATACTAACCCACACATCAAAGCATATGGTAGGTGTTCTCCATATACACTTGGAAATTACAGGTAGGGCATGCTATCTTGATTATTTGCTGTCTTATACTCAGCATGAAACTGTATTAAAAAATTCAAGATTTATTTTTTTGCATTCGTATCTTTAATTCTATAAGTTTAACTCCAGCACTGGACCACTACACAAAGGATATATCACTTAATTAACATCAGTACAAAAATTCTTACACTGTTTAAGCTCCTCCTCTATACCCTTTCTAATATATTTGACATACTTGTAAAATATTCCTCAGCGTGGTCTGGATTTCTAAATTATGGCTTGACAGTCCTCTGGCTTGACTGGTTAACTCGTACATCATGTCATCAAATAATTTCACAGTCTGTGAAAACAAAGCACATTATAAATAGGAGTAACAGAAAACACAAGAAAGGGAAAGACATATTTTTAAAGTGAAAAAAATGACAGGCAATTTTTCATTACTAACAGCCATGGGATATTATCTAGCTTAACAACTGCACTTATTAAAGTAAAAATATACGTTTTTATATATATAAAGTATTCATATGATATTATCTCTCTAAAAAAGCCTCAGACAGAAATTTATTTGTTTTCCATTTCTGTGGTTTGAATCTATTTAATAAAATCCATTAAAGGTAAGTGCTCCTCTACACAGTAAAAGTTGATGGTCTTAACCAATCAACACTCATATGGGTATTTACAAGAGTATTTTCTATTAGTGATGAATTGGTGAACTACTTGTTCACTTGTATTCTAAGCAGCTCCTCCTTTTGAGCAACTCAAAATACCATTCCTGGGTTAGGGCTACAGTACGTGACCTCAGAACTAAGTTTTTTGGTCTGTGAGAAGTTAGCTATCCTAAGATCTTAATACTCAGATTTTTCTGAACAATTTAAATGGTCTAAACATTGCAAGAATAACAAGAGAGTGTAATTAAAGAGGATGTTATTTCCCAAAGGCAAGTTAACACTCAACTTCCTTATTTTAACCTATACAACAGCTGGATCTTTTTCTGGTGGGCAAGAACAAATTCTAAGAAACTTTTAGATAGAGAACAATCAAGTGAATATGAGTAACAGGAATTTTGATGATTATCTGCTTCAAAGGTAAATTTAGAAAACCATTCTAATAAGAGATAAGGTACCATTCAAAAAATGTTTAATTTTGGAACCAAGATACCTTTAATTTCCTAAGTTAAAAAAAAAGAAAATTGCCTGTGCTTTTCAAAGAAAAAGTACACTATATCTGTATCTATAACTATATCTGTATCTAAAAGGTAATAATGTAGATGGTGAACTTAGTGTTTTCTCTTGGTTATTCTAAGCCTTCCTGAATAAAATTTGGCTCCATTTTTCTAGGCAATAAAATTTAACAATTATTAATAAACTCCACAGAGAAGATACTTAGCTAACTTCATCATTCATCCCCAAATTTTCACAGAATAGCTTTATTTTTTTTATTTTGACCTGCACACAATAAAGCAGCTTCATTCATAATTGCCCAAAGTTGGAAGCACCCAAGATGACTTTTAATATGTGAATGAATAAACAAACCAAGGTACATGCAGGCAATGTAGGCTATCTTGCATTCTGTCGAACACAACTGCAATCTGGCCTCGTGATATTTTAGGAATATTCTCGTTTATTTCAGAGTAAGCGTGTTTCTGGAGCCTCAGATCAACATCCATTTTCCGGCCATCGGTCCTCAAGTTAAATTGCTGGCACCAGCTCCGCAATGTGTCCCAACATACTTTATTAACCGGAGGCAAACTGGTTGGCAAGGGAAGGATCGGTGTATTATAACAGCTATGTTTTGGATAAGACTTGAATTGTTCACTCATTTGAGGATGACAAACTTTATCGTTTGTCCCAGGCACCTCCATGCCAACTTCTGAGGTGGAAGAAACACTTGGCTCCATTTAATGTTCTTCCTTGTTCCTCATTAACTGGAACCAACGTGAGCACCACAGTTTCTCCCTCTAATGCCTCCTCAGATATATTCTGCTCGTTGTTTTCATAAATTGAGTATGCCATTTCCAGGAATACTCAGGGGAAGGCCTCACTGAATAGCTTTAAAATACAAGAGTGTTTAAAGTAGCTACAAATAGGGGCGCCTGGGTGGCGCAGTCGGTTGAGCGTCCGACTTCAGCCAGGTCACGATCTCGCGGTCCGTGAGTTCGAGCCCCGCATCGGGCTCTGGGCTGATGGCTCGGAGCCTGGAGCCTGTTTCGGATTCTGTGTCTCCCTCTCTCTCTGCCCCTCCCCCGTTCATGCTCTGTCTCTCTCTGTCCCAAAAATAAATAAACGTTGAAAAAAAAAATTTAAAAAAAAAAATAAATAAAAAAAAAATAAATAAAGTAGCTACAAATAATATAAATTCAATTAATGAAAGATCTATACTATTTGAAAATAGAAGTTTTTAATCACCTAATGATCACCCTAACACCATGTTCTCACATGAGATCTATTTCTTACTACCTTATTTGTATTTCAAATATGTGTGATACATTTGGAAAAATGGAGCCACAGTTAAGAATAAATTATCTAAAATTGAGGCTAGATATAAACGGCCTTTATAACATGTACATTGATTAAAATAATAATAGTACTATACCTTTGGCAACACTTGTGAGAAGAAAGTCTGTTCCAATGTCAGGTGGTTCATATGAGGTAAAAACATTTCCACGATAATTTTTAGAATTTCTATAAAGTGAAATAGCAACATATTTTGTAAGAAAATTAAGTTGTATCAGCCAACAAAGATCACTGCTCCTTCCCCAAATCCAAGAATCTGTAAGTACTACTAATCCAGAACTCTGTACAGTTTCAAAATGCCACATTCTATGTAGAGAAACTATTAAGTAGCTGAAATAATAACACAAAAACAAAAACCCCAAAAAACAAAAAAAACAACCCTGTATGTCCAGCCACTGAGGACCACTTAATGGATGTGCATACATCTATTGAATAGGATTTGGTATCTTTAAATTATTAAAAATAAATAAATAAAATTATTATTAGAGATTATCTGAAACCATAAAAAAAAATTCACAATACTTTAAGGTTAAGTGAAAAGTTTCCAAAATAGTATAATCCCAATCTTAATACATATAAACATGAATAACAGATAGCCTGGGAAGAATATACAGAACCAAGATGAGAACGTTCTATACCAAAATCTTATTGACCACTTCAAATTAATGGGTGTTCCATTATCTTTTCTGTTTTTATGCATGTTTCAAATTTTCTACAATGAATAACTCTTATACTCAGGATAAAAAGTAATTATTACTTTAAAAAATTAAACCCAACAGGCTACATAGATTGAAAATTATAAATATTCCACAACCAAGTGAAATGTAAATAAGGTAACTCAAATGAGTAAACTGTGGAGTCTAGACTTTAATTCATCCCTTCTCCCAGCTAAATAAGTAAATAAGCCAACTAAGATTAAGAACAGAGATGAAGATGAGAAAGTCACCCTGAAAGCAGACCGCAAATTATGTTTTATATAAGTCTGAACGGTGTCACAACTAACATTTAAAATTTACAACGTGCTTCTTACATGTGCATTATCAATACATTTGGTATCCACCCAAAATAGAATTTAAATAATTTGAAGGAATTGGTCATTTTAAGTAACTGAAATTTACAGAGCCTGGAGCACTACAAGAAGAAGACATTTGAAGGGAATATGAAACTGTTATTGAGATACATACGACTCAGACCTTAATGACATCAAGGTAAATCAAACAATTAAGATAATTTTACTTACGAATATGCTCGATCCAATTGTCAGAATGCTGATACATAGAGTAAAAAAATTAAGGAAGATACGAGTATCACAGTAAGAGAATATTCACTACTAAGAATCAATCTAAAAAGTAGCCTTCTTGAAGTTTAAGCAATGATCAGTAAGAAATTGAAATTAGACTCAAACTGAAATTAGACTGGCGTAATTTTGCCTTTTTTTTTTAAATTTTTTTTAACGTTTTTATTTTATTTTTGAGACAGAGAGAGACAGAGCATGAACAGGGGAGGGGCAGAGAGAGAAGGAGACACAGAATCTGAAACAGGCTCCAGGCTCTGAGCAGTCAGCACAGAGCCCGACGCGGGGCTCGAACTCACGGACCGCGAGATCGTGACCTGAGCCGAAGTCGGGCGCTCAACCGACTGAGCCACCCAGGTGCCCCTAATTTTGCTTTTAAAAATGTAATGTTATTAGGTAAATAAACTACAATATAATGAATATACCCAAGGAAATATTTTCAAAATTGCTCAGGGATAAAACTGTCTTTTCCAACTACGTGTAGTCGACATACCTTTGACAGATGAGGAACAATACTATACTAATCCATAGGCTCCTGGTTTCTAACACAGGAAAGAAATTTCTTCTCCTGAGCACCTCTCCAGTACTTTATTTGCACCTGTCTAAAGCCACTCAACACGTTCTACCTTCTTTTCATATTACTTGTGGACCTATCTTACCAACCTGATCAGTCTGAGATTCTTTTGCACACAGCAGATGCTTACAAATAAGTGACCAAAAATTACTCTATGTTCATTACAAAAGTGAACAATAATCGCATTATGAACTGTACACTTATATACCATCAAGAATTGTTGGAAATGTTTTACTGCGTAATAATAAAGAATATGTCAGCAAGAAAAATGAATAAAGTATAATCCCATCACACTAATACAAGAATGGATTCTTCTGACACCTTACTTTGTATATATGGATTTTACCGCAGCAATCAAAATGAGGCATAACTCATCTTAAATCTTTCTTGCTTCAACGTTTGTTTTGAGTGATATAGAGCGAGCAGGGGAGGGACAGAGAGAGAGGGAGACAGAGAATCCAAGCAGGCACTGTGAGCGCAGAGCCAGAGGTGGGGTTCAAATGCACAAACCACAAGATCATGACCCCAGCTGGAACCAAGAGTCGGATGCTCCACCGACTGAGCCACCCAGGCACCCCCTAACTCATTTTAGTTCAGTAGTGTTGGATTTGTTTTATGGAAAAATTTCAGTAAAGGTCCAAAATTTCTGGCCTCTTCCAAAATTAAACATAAGTTATGCTTACCTGGACATGCAAGTAAAGACTGGAAAATAAATGTAAAACGCAAAACATGAAAATAATTAGGTTTGGATGATGGGACTATAGATTAAAAACTTAACTTTCATTTGCTGAAAAGTGTTAAAAACTGGGGCGCCTGGGTGGCTCAATCGGTTGAGCGTCCGACTTCGGCTCAGGTCATGATCTCACGGTCCATGAGTTCAAGCCCTGCATCAGGCTCTGTGCTGACAGCTCGGAGCCCGGAGCCTGCTTCAGATTCTGTGTCTCCCTCTCTCTCTCTGACCCTCCCCATTCATGCTATGTCTCTCTCTGTCTCAAAAATAACCAAACATTAAAAAAAAATTTAATAAAAAAAAAAGAAGAGAAGTATTGAAAACTGGGGGAAGAACAAACAGGTTTAGGTTCTTTTGAACATTAAGTTTGAGAAGCAAAACCAAGTGGGAATGCTGACTTTCAATTACTGATGTCATCCATAAACCTGAGGGGGAAAAGAGGAGCCGTGTTCCTTATCTTTGTTCCCCCAAAGCATAACACCCTGGCGGGGTATGTGTTATGTGCCCAGATGTTCTGGGGTGGGAGGATGGCTATATTTCCCAAGTCAACATCCTTGAGGATGGCAATGCACAATGACTAAGAAAGATCTCTGGCACCTAAGTGGGATTTTGCCACTGCCTATGTGAATGACTTCTGCGTAACGGTAATACATTACATTTGGCTTTAGTTGTAAAAAAATTATTTGAGACTCTCTAAAGTGAAGCCCCTTTTTTTCTTTTCAGTGTGGCTTTATGTTGAAGGTGAGCTCAAAGATGTTAAAAAAAAAAAAAAA